CCCTAGACTAAGGGTTTCTTCACTCACACTGCACTGAATACTTCCCAGTTTATCCCAGCTGAAGATCTCTAGTCACAGACCAGATCCTTCTGCTAGCAGAATGGACAAAATAAAACTCAATGGAAATTACACAGCTGGCACTAGGCAATTTGTTAATTGCCCCTAAAAATGAAAGAATACAACTACTTTTACTCCCAGTCTTTATTATGCACTCTGATAGGCTCTTATTGAGATCTTTATCAAAGCAGAGATTTTTTACTTCAGTCAATCCAACTAGGTTTGTCACTTTAAATATCAGCATAACCCAAAAGTTCTTCTAGAGTATATTTGTTTGGCTACTTTATATTGGCTATGCCACTTTACATTTGCCAGTGAACTGCAGCATTATTCAAATGTGGGATATGGTTAGTTTCTATCTCAGCCTATGCACAGACCTATTTCCTATGTCTGTGTGCAGCTGCATTTGAATACGTGATGCCAAAATAGAGGAATGGAAAGGTTTAGATCTCAAACAGAATAAAGGCTTTACTCAAAGACTCCAGGAAGAAATGTTGCAAGGCAACTCTTAACTCACAGTGCTAAACTAGGAGCAGGTCATTGCAACGTGTTGGAATGACGGTGTATGGTTTTAAAAGTAGCTACTAACTAGAGATACTCGGGCATCTTCACTGGCATTTCAAGATCAGGTGGGTCAACATGTATTTCGTATATACGAAGCCCATGTTTTCGTGAATGAGATTTAATTGTCCTATATGTTGAACTGTGCTAGTTAACAAAATTAATGAAAGTGTCTTTGTTAATACATTGTAAAAATAATTCCAGAAATCTCTTTTTGTAGCAATCTATATTCAGCCTTGGTGAAACCATTTAATAAAAGCCTTGCTGTGTCCCCTTGGTCAGAAGCTACTGTGGGCTGTGTCACATACACTCTGTGGGTATGTACCTCTTGAAGCAGTGAAAGCTGGTCACACTTTTCTTTGTTGAGATTTCACTTTTTGTACGAATACTGCTTCATGTAATTTGGGTTCATAAAACAGCTAAAATAGCAGACCAAAGACAAAAACCTCTGCTAACTGCTGGTGAAAAGTTTTCACCGAAAAATTATTTTATCAATCCCTGAACCAAGGAGAAAAGACAACTAATTCTATATTCTATCAAGTAAGTGAAATAATAAGTATATCCAGAAGAGATTTCTTTTATAAAGTTTTAGCAGAGATTTTAAGATTTTTGAAGTCAATTCTGGATCCTAAGAGTGTGTATTTCTTTGCTGGTGACATATAGCCTACATATCCACAATCTCAGTGCTCGTGTCACATTACAGTAGGATAATTTGAAGGATTGCTTCAATTTAGATCATACCCATTGGTCCCCAAAGACAGCAACCCAAAACCAGTGATCAATATGAGCTTGATCTGCTTTTTTTTTTTTTTTTTTTACCTTTTGAGATGTCACATCAGAGGGGAAATGGCATTGCTATTAGAGGAATCATCCTTGTAGGACATAAATTTTCAAGATGAGATTAGAAATGGTCCGTGCTAATGGAATACAACCTGCAGCTTTCCTCATGTTAGAAGAGGTGACCATTTCCAGCTATTCCAAATGTAGTGCTCTTACTGCAACTCCTCAGAGATATTAACTACTAGTTTAGCTACTAAGTAAACTAAATAGCCAGGGCTCAGATCTGGATGCCAGCACATCTGTTGAATACTGTCAAATTGTTGGCATAACCTGGGTCATGCTTTTGGTCTGTGCAGCAAGTGTTGGAAGCAACGCCCTGCAGCAATAGGGAAATCAGCATGGACCAAGGAGCATGGACCATGTTGAGGAAGGCCCTCAAAAGTAGTCATGGGAAAGGGAAATTGAGGACATGAGTTCTGCCACAGGAGTTGACTCTATGGCCAGGAAATAGGCTTAGATCCGGTGAATTTGCTAGTATAGATATGTCCATCTTGCTTATCCAAGAATTATTTAATAAAGGAAAGAACATAGGAAATAGATGAAGTAGGTTTTCTCCTCACATACTTAGGTTTACACCGAAAAAGCTCACTTTTTTTTAATACTAGCTTAATACATCAAGGAAAATCATGTTCGTTACATAGATCCTGGGTAACTTTTCCCTGTGGCCATAAATATGAAGAAATCATAGCCTTGTAGCTGGATACCTTTAAGCATCAGGACGGAATCAGATTTAAAATCTAGCCTAGCTAAATCCACAGGTCAATCATAAATGGACTTATGTCTGAATTCTGAAAGGACATGAAGTTTGGTGAGGACAATGTACACAAAACAACTGCAAATTCAAGATCTAGTCTTTGTGCTTGTCTTGTCTTAAAACATAGATTCAAGCTTGCAGCTTATATTGGCTTCCAAGGCCAGGGTAATAGTGGCATCCATCAATTTGTGCAAAATATATTGCTTTCGTCTGGATCCCTTAAGTGATATATTAAAGCTCAGACAAAATGTATTTATGAATAATAAATACTTACATGTATCCTTTGAATTTATTGAGATCGTTGTTAGGCATTTCACAGATTATGATATTTTTAAAAAGTTCTGGTTCAAACAATGTATTCTACAAGAGGAAACACATTGAAAATGACTGTCAAATCCAATGTATACTTGAATATCAATAAGAACACCTAAAGCTATACACATTCCACAACAGCAGAAACAGATAGGCATTATTCCAGAACACATAGCACAATATCAGAGGTAGAAAAAAAAAAGGGGCTTCTTAAATCCACTTCACCACCAGAAAACAAAGATTCCTCAGAAAAATGTGTGTGGAGGTCATGTTCACAGCTGCAAAGTTTTTTCTTTCTCTGCTTCTTTGAAAGGTTGAGGCTTGTCCTCAGACTCATACACACATTGCTCTTGGCAGCAAGAGCATGTCACCAAGGTTGAAAGCTGCCAATAGTTGTGATGGTTAACATCTCAAGTATGCTTGCAAGGTAATTTCAACTTGAAGAACGAGCGAGCAACACCGGATTATATCACCTGGCCACAATTTGCCATGGAAATGGCCTACTTATACTTAAGAAATCTGGTAGCTTCTTGCTAACACCTGTTTTCTCCCCACCCAGAACAAAATCAAATATTGGTTCAATGGTCATTAATAACGGCTAAATAAATGGTCTTCATATGCCCTGTCAGGACATATAAATGGAGGAGAAGATTCCTTTTCACATGCTATAGGTTATTATATTCCTGTGATATTTGACAAACTGCCCTGGCCTGGTTGTAAAGCTGCTCAGATGGGGGATGGCGTGCGGTGCTTTAGGCGTTCATCAGCACACAAAGACAAACTACTCCTCTCTGAGATGATCTTCCCCTTTTCACACCTTTGTGCTTGCCACAGCATAACCTAAGTCTTCTGTGACAAACTGCCGCTTTAGGCAGAGGACATTAGCACCAACTGCAGAACGTGTTTCTGTAGCGGTGTTGGAGCAGGCCGCCCATCAGAAGCCCTACGTTCTGCATTTCCCCAGAGGCTGGCATGGACAGGGGCTCAGACCAACTGTGAGGCACATGGGCTACACTGCCAGGCACCTACCTGGCTGGAGAAGCCCGTCACAACTTGTCGCTGCTTGAGGTTGGTCTCCCCGTCGAGGTTGGCAGTTTCCAGGTGGCAGATCCCATTCTGGTCAGAGGAGTAGAGCAAGAGGATGTCGGCTGGGATGGTCTCATTGCACCGCAGCTGCACAAAGTCCCCCACTCGGACGTCTTTCCAGCACTTCTCGGTGTAGGCATGATCTTCCCTATGGCATTAAAAACACATCTTGGGTGAACAGCCACACAACAGTTTTCACAAAAAGAAAACTGGGCGTGGTGGCACATTGATGTGTTTTCTTAAAGGACCCAGCATAACATTTAGAATTTAGTGATTTGGACAGTGTGGTAGTATCACTTCACCCTATTTCACATTCAAAATACACTCTCTACATGTTACTATGCCAAAAGCTATCTTTGATTCTGTTCTCTATAATCTTCACATTAAGAATAGAAAGGTGCTCAAAGAGGTAAACCATAACATAAGCAGAATCTAGAATTTAATGGAAAACTTGAGATGAAAACCACGTAGCTTCTAAATAAATATCTGTATCTATATATGAAGAAATACAAAGGGAAAGATTTTGGGGGTTTAAGGAAAAGAAACTACTGTTTCACCAATAAATCATTGCTCTGAGTTTCAGGAAACAGCAAAGCTGTTTTGGCATTTTTTTCAATAATTGATCCATTAACATCTCTTAATCATCTGAGACAACAGGACTGCACAATAAATTTTAAAATTAGTCAAAGGAAAAGCTACACATGCAATTCTTCTAAACTTGTGAGAAGAAATCATTTTTTTAATACAAGTAACTGAATCATCTTATGCCTTGTTCTACAACAGGGAAAATGCTCATAATACTTTAACAGACCCATAGTAAAAGGCTTCTTGTAGTGATTCAGAGTCTCATTTTTGCTTAAGTTTTTAATGACCCTCATTTACTGACCAAAGAATACTGCTTTTCAATTAATTAGGTGTTTGTATCATGAGCCGTGGTGCAGGGGTACAGTAGATAAAATGTTTTGCTATGATTCAAAGGCTAACGTCCAAGCATTGCTTCACAACCAGCCCAAAGGCTGCTTCCTGCTCACCTGCTTTCCCCATCTGCCGTAAAGTAGAACCAGCCTTGACACCGTCACACAACCCTCTGCGCGTGGCCAATGTCCTTATCTAAACCAACGTGAAATAACAGCTTCCGGCAAAGGTTATGATTCTAAAGGTTACTTAAATTCTCTGCCTTTCCCACTATTTATTAAAACAAAATCCTAAAGACACAAATCTCTAATTAATAGGTTAGAAGTGCTTGCACACTGCTAAATAATGATAATGTAAAAATGATTTTTCATTTTTCCATTGCATTCTAATTCTTGAATTTTTCATTCTTCTCTCTCCTTTTTTTCTGTCTCTTCTTACAGGCTCATCCTTGTTTCTTTTGCTCAAAAACAGACATAAAAGACCACACTGAAGAACAGAAGGCTGTTGTAAGCTAATTTGATATTGTCACTCATTTTATAAAAATATTGCAGACCAGTTCCTATTTGAAAGACATTTATACAGGTGTTTGTTCACTGTTAATTGCTCAGCAAAGGAGATACCAATTATGAAATTAACAAAAACACTAAGCAATTGAGAAATCTTGTATCAAATAGCATCCTAGCTGAATTTTTTAATTTGTCTATGCACAAAGAGGACAGAAGCAATTTAGAATAAGATGATTAGTCTTCTTGCTGTCACAGACATTTGGCTATCATGTAGAGTTCATCTGTCATGCTTGCTAGGGTTTCTTGGGTGCAACCCTACCTCTGTGTGTCAATTCTTGCATAATCCTCAGGTTTCTAGAACACATTTTGGATTTTATCTGCTCACAAAATGCTATAGAAAGGCCTTGCCTGGCTGGTTGACTTACAGATTAGCCCGAAGAAACTAGGTTCACAAAAATAATCTTTTGCCAGCTTTGTGATAGTCTTTTCAATAATCCCCTGTGAAACACGCATTACGCACACAGCTTCAGGCACTGCCCTCTTACTAATTACAGAGGAGAATATGAGTCAGAAAAGCCAGGTGACCTCTTTTGGAGTACAGAAAAACTCTTCCTGAGCTCTGAAATGAGCTCTCGGGAATGCCCAGTGCCCCAGATCTGCATGCGGGTTGGCGGAGTATCTCCCTCTCCGCTGCAGAGCACCAAAGCTCGTGCACAAGTTGTGTTTCTTTGTCCATGTGCTCTGTTTCCTGAAGGAACACGGAGATTAACCATCTCCTACAATACAAAGGATTCCTACAACTTTTTTAGTGCTTGACGGATGTATAAAAGAGAGAAAAACATTTCACAAGCAACCTCTTGCACCTGCTGCCCCAGCAGCCTTACATGATTATGCACGGGAAGCAGTTTCATTTTAGCAATTCCCATAACTGGGAACACTGCCCATTTTATGGTCATTGATTAAGGCTGACAGCACAATCTCCTGTTGCTAAGTAAACAGAGGCACTTTTTAAATCTAAGTCTGACGAGAAACATGTAGAAAAGGTAAATACTTTTATGACATAAAATAAACAAGATGTGGTGATTGTCAATAGGCAGATAGCAGGCAGCGTCAGAGCTGTGGCATAAAAAGTATATGATCCAAGGTAAAAGTTTCTCAGTATCCTCTCTGCTTTACCAGCTAATTTATTATCAGCAATTAGTCGCAAGCAGAGCCACAGATACATCTCTTCTATCCCATGCTGATCTGGTGCGTTCCTGAGGGCTAAATTTGTGCCTAGAAAGTGTTTCCTTGGTGTTGTGTGATAATGGGCAGCCAGATACTGCTCATCAGAGAACGGGGTAGACAAATGGAGACAGCCTTGAGCGCTCACAAAGTCTGCCAGAGGTGAGCATTAGGCTCCTTGCACTGAATTGACTTTCTGAATGCATTTCGGGGAAGAGAGAATCATAAAAAAGAACGTCGGCTGTGGTTGAAGACTGGGGAAGAACATTGATAAATTATTTACTTTGTGTCAACAATGTAATTACATGTTCCTGAATTCAATAAAAATGAATTTGAGACAAGAACTGGGTCAAGAGGGATGGTGAACAGGAAAAAAAACAATCTGTAATTCTGCTCCCCTGCTCTCTGAGAGACATTAAAAGAAAAGAAGAAAAAAAAAATATTTCATATGCCTGCCTGTGACCCCTAGACTGTCTTAAAGGAAGATCTTTAGAAACCTTTACCATTCATAACTATCAAACCATTCAATTATTTTAACGACTCCTATTTTCTTGAACAGCTGAAATCTCCACCTCAGGATAATTTGCAGGTTTAAGCTGCTGTTCCTTATTTCTCTAGCCCTCTAAGCTGTCACTGAATTATAACAATATCAGCCACATTAAAAAAAAAAAGTCATATACATAGATGAACTCAAATGTTTGTTATCATACGTAAAATCAATACAATGCTTATTTAAAACTGGCCCCCTCAGGCACCACTTAACCCATTCAGAACATTCAGTGCTATGCAGTCAACAAATAGAATCACATAGGTACTTAGAGTCTATTTTGACAAACAGAAATCCCGAATATTTTCATATTGTCAATGATTATGCCAGCTTTTATACGGAAAACTGCTTCCAAAACATGACCTTATGGTCGTGTCCTCAAGGTTAGGAGCTACTGCCATGAAACTGCAATAACTGGAAACAAACAAGTGGACTTAGCTACCACTTGAGGAAGGCCCTGGAGAGGGATGGAACAGACTCTGAAATGTATCCATAGATGACAGCACTGAACAAGTTGGCCCGTAATATTGCTGAGCAAGAGAGATTTCTGAAGGAGAGAAGATGTTGCTCTCTCCTTGCCAATTCATCACACCATGCTACTATCACTTTCTGTAGTTGAGAAGGTTGTTTTTTCACACAGACATCAGCCCACGAGGATCAATAAATGACATTATTTAGCAAGAGGCTAGTCCTGTAATAAGCCAACATTAGCAAGCAGCTATAACCATTTCCCATAGCTGCAAACTTCCTCTCAGGATCTGAACAACACAACGAAATAGCGATGAGCATCTTTCAAAGATAACGAGAGTCAATTTTTTATAAAGTCTAACAAAATACGTCTTTAATCATACTATTGACGCATTGGAACTTCCTTAATGCTAACCTCAAATCCTAAATTTGTGTCTGCTAAAAATGCCTGTAGTATCCTACCATGGAGGATACTTGCTCAGTGATAAAAGGATCCTATATTCAATCATTCCAAAATTGTATAGACTTAAGATAAGTATGAAAACTTTAGAGATATATTATGTCCTTGTATTTCAGTTTTTAACTTGCATTTTTGTCTCTGTTTTCCTTGATTTTGTAATGAACTGGAAGAAATGAAGAAATAAAATGAAGTAGATATCAGGAACACTTTAAGCACAACATACGCTTAGACTTTACCAGGTTAATCTTGTAAGTTATGGTTCAAGTTAGTTAGGAAAAATCTCAGATTTCTTTCAAATACTGCTTAGAGCAAAACGCTACTGTTAGCGTTTGCTAACACCTTGCAAAAATCATTTATTTTGTGACTGCTAACCTTTAGCATTAGTTTTCAAGACCTATTAAGTTTCTGCAAAGAAGAGTCTAAAGCAGCTTTTTGCTATGGTCACCTCCTTACATGGCCACATACCATCTGGAGATCACACATAAGTTTCTGCTTCTCTCCCAAATTGAAATGTGCCATTTCAGACACTTAGTACAGGACTCAGTGCTAGGTTGTCACTAATCTGCAGAGGTCTCAGTTGGAAACAGCTTCTCTTGCCTTTTGTCTTTAATAATTAGCTTCTACTGCTATTTTCTTCTGTGAAGCAGCTTTAAATATCTTGGCAGGTAACAGAACTTGAGGAAGGTGTTGATAAGGCAACACAGAAACAGGTGGCAGAAATAACAACATCACTGCAGGCTTTCCTCTGAAGAGGGCAAGGATCCTTGCTGCAGTGAGGAACACTGTCTTACAAGGAGAATTGCTAACATGCCTGCTCGACTTGCCGGGGCTGCAGCCTGGACCATTTGGGTGGTGAAACTTGACTTCTGCATTTGGTCAGCTCAGCATGTTGAGTATTTCTTCAGCACACAGCACACTCATCATACGATGAATTCATGTTTTAATTATTTCTTTACAATTCTGGTATCACTGGTTTCAAGCTGTCACATGGCTGCATTTAACAAACCTTAACATACTCTTTGTTCTGAGCTTGCTAGAAGTGTGAAGAATAGCTCTAGTTAGCACAGACTGAAGGCCCTGTTTCTGCTTTCAGCAATACCTGTTGCTTACTGAGGCATCTGCTGCTACCTTAGTAGCAGAGGAGCTAAAGCTACCCAGGCAATATACCACAGAATGCCAACTGCTAGTGATGGTTCCACACGAAGGAGGAGATGCTCATGTTTGACATTAAGCAAAGGGGTATCATGCTATCTTTGCTCATGAAAAGTAAGTTTCAATTACACTGCAGCAGATTATTATCCTGCAGTGATTTCAAAGCTTATAGCACTAACTTTTATATGAAGTAATTCATGCTCAAACTGATCAAAGTTCATGTTTTGTGGCTATCATAAAAATGCATCTGCAGCCATGCAAGATATTATATAGAGCTGGGGTATGAAATCAGGAGACCTTGAGCCTCAGTTACACAAGTTCATACACAGTCAATGCACCATGTAGATGTGGAAGATGTTGCTATGTCCAAGGAAATCAATTGCAGTTCTGCCAGAGGACATGTGATGGGACTTTAAGCTGGCCAGAGGCTTGAGGTTTTTTTTCTTTTTAACAGGAGATGAAATCAAACTATATACTAAGCCATTTGTGGACCTGCTTGAAAACTAAAGCATCACAGAGGAACTTTACTGAGACTGCAGGCAGGTCACCTCATTTAGGAGGCCTGTTGGCTTACTTAGTTAACAGGCAAGCGCATAGGATGAATCAAGGCACATAAAATAGACTTATTTTCTGAATCAGTCTCTCAGATATCTGTGTTTAGGTGCTTAAAATTAAGCAGACAAATAGCTCAAATATTTCTAGTGTTTTTGTGGGTGCAGTTGCCCAACACATGCAGATTCAGGGAAGTGTCATCTTAAAGTATGCACGATTCTTGTATTCTCAACTGAGCGTATATTGAAACACTTAGAAAATATTAAGTTAAACTTTCCAGAGATGCGAAATCAATGTAACTAATAAATCAATGCAAAACCTTACCTGGATGTTATTGAGTATTTGCAGACCATTAAAGCTTAATCTTGCAATATTTTTGAGGGGTTTGCCATATACAAGCAATAGGTTAATTATACACTAAGTATTTTCTCAATCACTTTAGAACTTCAAGGGGATTAAATATGAGCTTTAAGTTGCTATTTGGTGAATATTCACTTATTAACAGCAGCTGCCAGCATTGAATGTAGTGTACAAGCCAGCTGTGAGACTCTAAGCAAAAGACAAACTGGAGAGAGATGAGAGAAAAAGTAACCAAGTAGCTTTGGGGTAGTAGACTTATAAGAAAGATGAGAAGACTAATTCAGAACTTGACTAAAAGGTGGCTGGGTGTAGCAAAATGAACATGATAACAATCACAAATATTCAAAAACTATAATTAAACATTATGGATGAAAAATAATAAATTAGGCTGATATTAAACCAGGTAACTTGAAGAATCTGAATGCAATTAAGAAGCGCTAACAAAAACGGAATGCTTTTTGATCACATGACAATTGCGATGACAATCGCATTTTGAAGACAGTGGAAGCCTCATTGCTTGGAAAAATTTAGAAGAAAGCAACTTCTTTTTTTAAAGAATCCCAGAAGAAAAGTGGCAATTAAACATCCTCATCTGCATTTGGATTTTTAGTCTTTTTTTTTTTTTTTTTTTTAAACATGTGGTGTGATTTCTTCCGACAGCTTAACAGTTTATGAAGTCACTATATCTCCCCAAGACACTCTGATAACTATGGACTCCCCTTTCTTCAATTAAACATTTTTTAAAATATGCTACTTGAAGTGTCTTTTTTCTTCGCTTTGCTACCAGACTAGATTACAATTGGAGCTGATCTCTGTGAAAATAAAATTAAAAGAAATGTGTCTACAGGACAGCCAATTCAAACTCAATGTCCTTCGCTCCAAGCAAGAAGGTTAAGCTACTGCATTTCCCCTAGCCTTCAAGAAAAATTTGGAAAATATTCAGCCTTTGAATAAGAGAACTCTGCCTTTGCGTTTCTTGTGGAACATGGAACCAGAGTTCTTGCTATTGAAGTCTGAAATAATGAAAACATACTCTTTGGAATTAATACTTTAAATCTAATTAATTGTTCAATTTAGGATGGAAGATCAGTTGCTCCATTAAAAAGAATTCTCTGCTGCCACAAAATTAATAAGACTCGCAGGGTCTAGACAAAGACTTTCACCTATGTTACAAAATTGCCTACTGCAGATGATTCATAAGGAAAAAAAAAAATAGAAGACACCACACTGTTCCGTGACTTTGCAGCTAGCAAGAAGAACAAGAAATACCAGCTTCCGAAAGATCTATAGAAGTCTGATTAAAATTATTCATGATATAATAAGCTGTAACTACAGATTTGATGGTAGTTGTAATTACCCACCATTTTTCCAGACAGGATGAATGTTGTAGTGTGAAACCCTCCTCTTTTCTCTTTC